GGGTTTCAAACATTCCATCGACCACACAAAATATTAAGGAGTAAGCCTTTCTCGGTGAGATGTGGAAGCATAGCCAGTGCTGGATGTTGCTCATTGTACTTGCTACCTATAGAAAGGGCAGCATCCTGTCAGACCGCTGGGACAAACATCAGCAGAGAATGAGTGAAGCTGCTTGTGTCGTGAGTCTACTGGCCACCGTGTGGCCATCTGACTGCCCTGAACACTGAAGGGATCAGTATCTCCAGGCATGCTTATGACCCAATTGCAGCTCGCTGTCATGGGAAACTGGCTGGGAAGCTCTGCTTTGTATAGCAGTCTGATGGCCCATCAGATATGAAACAACATATACAGTAAGTCTTACTTACTTTGGTTTCCAACAAAAATATGTTGTCTATCTTGATATGATTTATTATCACTTTCAAAACAATATCCTTATTATTTACTGTGTCTTCATGCAAACCCAGAGAGACACTGCTCAGATTCCCCTTCAAAAAAAGAATCCGGACCATCTGAGCATCTTACAAAAGATGACATTGATGCATTACCTTGGTGGTATTTACACTGATCTGGCAGGAGGAGCAAGGAGTACCTAGCACTCTACATACCTAGTACCTAGCCTTGGTAATATACATGTTTCCTAGAAGTTTGCAGATGAGCCCTATGAAGAGTCAGGGACCCTCTACTTCATTAAAGCAGTCAGGAATGTCTCATCCCAAGTACAAGACAACTGACTACATCTTGTATCTTCTGTGACAAAGAAGGAAGCACAATACCTGGTAGACCTCTTCGGGATCCAAAGCAATGTATTCCACACTTAGGAATACTGCTCTGGTCCATACACTGAGTAACAAAGAAGTCTGCCAGCTTTGTACGGGGCTTGGAGTACAGGTCTGCGCTGCAGTGTAATTGCCATGCAATTTAGTGACCTGGTGGTGCTAGAGGTGTTAATAATGGGAAAAAATGCAGTTTAGATTTCATGGAAGGCTTCCGTGGGAGAAATAGAATGCAGTCCTCTGGACTTCTGAAGCAAGACCATGCTATTTACAGTGGAGGATAAAACACCTTTTGAAAGATGGCTCTCTGAGCCCAAATAGTGATTGAACACTTGAAGATGTGATATCAAGCGATCATGTGTCTCTAACTGCCAATGATTATGTAGGTCCTCTTGGTTGGATCTTCAGTCGTAAAGTTGGGTGGGTCCAGCAAATTCTTTGTGAAATGGAAATGATACACCTGGAACTAAGCCTGAGCACGGCCAGACAAGCATGAGCCCAGAGCCCACGTTACCCACCACAGTTGCACCAGGACCCCTCCATCACACATTTCAGCAAACTGAAGAGGAGTAAAGGATCTAGCTTGGTTTACAGATAAGCTGTCTCGGTATGTGGGTGCAAACCAAAAATGGACAGCAGTTGCATTACAGATTTGCATTGGCCTTGAATGCGAGTGGAGAGGGACAATCTTCTCAATAGGAAGACTTTTGTTTTGACTAATAGTGTTAATTGAGGGACACCAGAAAGTTATTCTGCCTGAATAAATCCCTTCTTGAACTTCACTCTTAGCATTTTAATCTTTTTCTAAAGTACTTCTCCCTGAATGTCTCCTAAAGTATCTCTTGGGCCTTCATTCACTATCCACTCAAAAGGGAAACTCTGAGAATAGTACGTTTTATTGTGACCGCTGCAATATGAACAATTTTTATTAATTTAGCCAATGGTTATTGCTTAGCAGCTCATATTACTGGTAGGAAAGGACACAACACAAATAAGTTGATGGTAGCCAGCGATGCAAGGGAGCTCCTAGGAGAGGCTAGAAAGTAGAGACAGGGCAGGCTGGGGACTCAAGTGGATTTTGACGGCCTCATAAATGTAACTAGGATGAGTCATAACAGGGACCGCATCCATTCTCATCTTTGAAATGGTCTACACTGCTTAGCTTAGTACTGACCTTAGAAGCTGATGAAATTTGATCTTTGTCATGAGACACAGTTGAGGGCTTATCTTTACATCTGGTGTGTGTGTGTGTGTGTGTGTGTGTGCGTTTGAACATAATAAAACATGTCAGCTTCTATGTAATGCCTGGGAAGATAGGTTATGCCTTTTTATTTCTGAAAAATATTGGTGGTTTTCTGGCTGGTTCCCAATGGTAGTAAAGCATTCTTTATTCTTATGAACAGACTTAGAATTATTCTCCATGAAGGATTTACTTTTGACCTTATGTCATTTTCTGAACCAGCTAAGAACTCTTTCAGCTCTTCCTGAGCTCTGATTTCTAATCATAAAATGATATATTGATTGGGTTTTATCAGCTAATGGCAGGACTGTGAATAATCCATCAATAACAAATTGCAATGATAGAGTAGGCCGTCATTACAAGCTAGGTCCTCTCAGAGAGCTACCGGTATAACTGGGTATTGCCCTAACAGCATTTCTTCATTTATGACTGATGTCGTAATTGATGCTTAACCTGAACTACAGCACTTGTTCAATGACTTTCTGTGTCTGAACTCTCCATTTTAACTTTTTTTTTTTAATTATACAAAACCCTATACAATGTAGCAGCTATACGTTTAGGATCTACTAAATTAAGAAAAATACATGTGGACAAAAGCTACTAGGAATTCAGTGATGCTTTTACATGTATTTACAAATAACATGTATTTTAAGGAAGAGTACATATATGTGAGAGACTATGTAATCTACAACCTGGGACATAAGTGCTTTAATTAATTCCTTGCAACAGTTCTGCAGCCTCCCATTGGCTGAAGCAGACAACTTGGGAACCAAAGCTTACCAGGATTAAAAGACGAAGTGGGGCACCTGGGTGGCTCAGTCGTTAAGCGTCTGCCTTCGGCTCAGGTCGTGATCCCGGGGTCCTGGGATCGAGCCCCGCATCGGGCTCCCTGCTCCGCGGGAAGCCTGCTTCTCCCTCTCCCACTCCCCCTGCTTGTGTTCCCTCTCTCGCTGTGTCTCTCACTGTCAGATAAATAAAATCTTTAAAAAAAGAGAGACGAAGTTCAGCAACATGTTTCAAGGCCAAGTTTTACTTTGCAGACAGTCTTGCAGAATGAAGCCTGTTTCCATCGCCAGTGTGTCTTGTCCCAAATGTATCCATGGCCCTGCTACAATTTAGTGGTCAGCCAGCCAAAAAGTTAGGAGTTTACTTGTATAAATAATTGAGAGGTAGATGAGGGGAGCAATGCTATAGTAATAGTCTAGTTAGTTTGCGGGGAAATAAGCTACTTGTTTTTTTTTTAATCAAAAGACTTCCTTTATAAGGGCTACAAGGAGAGTAGAAAAATAAAGAAGAAAGAGTAAATCTGAAGTGTATTCTCCACTTACCAATATGGACAAGAGCCTCGAAACAACACTGGACAGTATTTCTGCAATTTTACCTAAAGATTACACTGTACATAGCACAAGGGAACAGAAGTCTAAGGTATATTCTTAAGTCTTCCCAGATGATTTTCTTTATTATTTATGAGCGTCAGTGTAATTTTACACTTGCAATTGAGAGGACAGATGTTTCTATGAAGACAACATTCCCAGCTCACCATCAAAGGGACACAAGCTTTGCACTCTTCTTAAGAGTGAGTGTGGGGGGCCTCAATTGTGAGCCTTTGAAAGGGGGTCAAGAGACCTGTTCCTTGGCACTAACATCTCAGTCACAAACAGGTGTTCTGCAACAAGGACCTTCATACTCCTTTCATCCTCTTTTATCCTTAACTTCCTCCTCACTCCCCACGAAATTCTCTGAGCTCCACCTGAAAAATATTAAGGCACAAACGTGAAACAGCTTAATTTTGTATAAAGCATTTCCAAACTGGTTTATTTATAAAAATATGTAACATGTAATGTTTCTGTACCTCTATTTACTTAGTATCTCTTCTTTTCACTTCATAAAACATATTTGTACAGAATGGTCTGTGAAAATCAGCTACCTAAGCAAAGACTTAAAGCTGTGAATCAAAGATTGAGAAAGCAAATTACCCTATTATTAGCTTCTCTCAAATTTTTACTTTATCTTAAAATAGTCAACATATACTTTTAGTTAAAATGAATTAAAATTCATGTGGCTAAGACATAATATCAACTGAAAAAAAGTGAAGCTATTCCTAGGGGTATAATGCCAGTTTGAGGTATTTGTTCTTTCAAAATAATCCTTGGTTATATTTGGGTCACTCAGCTTTATATTTCCAATGTCAAATATGGTGTTTGGTACAGAGAAAGAAGTCAAAAGTAACAAAATGTTAATTTGAAGTAGCTTTTTTGTAAAATTATTTTACTTCAAATTACTAAAAAAGAAGTACAGAAACTGTCTTTTTGTTCACATGCTTATTTTGACTGTAATAAATTATGTTCTTCAAAAGCAAGATGTAGTGTGTAAGCACATCATCGTTACACATGTTCTTGGTGAACAGAGCTTCTGTAAAATGGAGAGGATGCATTGACAGGGTTTAGAAAATGCAGGAGTTCCAGAGTTTTTTGCACAATCTTCAATTACTAGGAGGTTTCACATTTCGATTCTCTGTAAAGAATTTTAATCTTGTATTTACTTCTCAAACAAAATGTATTTTTAAAAAAGAGTTTTGTCCCCAAAGAATCTAACTTACAAGTCAGGCAGAAACTCTTTTTTCCTCCTGTCTGTATTTTGGACAACTGAACACTGGTAAGGAACGTGGGAGAAACTAGAAAGTTTCCAATTGTTTGAAGAAACAAGTAGGAAATTCAGAGAAGTTATTAGAAATTGCCATAGACATCAGAAAACCAGAGAAGAATACTAAGAATAGTAACTAGGAAGCAATCAGCAACTTTTGTTTTTGTCTACACTAAATTCTAAAAAAATGCTGAAATACATAAAGACAACAAATGCTTTAGAACAACCACTGAATATGATATCCTCCTACTTGCAGATGATTACACTTTCTTCTCTAGATCCAAGTGTTTCATTTTGCATTTGACCTTAATTCTGTTAGTTTTGAAATCCCTGCAGTCACCTTGTCAATCTATATCTGCTTCCTCCGAAAACAAATTAATTGTTGATGAATCCCTCCTTAAGACTTTACCACTTAAGATAAGTTTCATTGCCTCCTGAAACCATGGGTAAAAGAAAGCATATATCAAGAATTATAATAAACACACAACACTAAAATCTCATAAACATAAGAAGGAGTTATAAAATTCACGTAAGCATCAATCACAGCATCAATAATATATGGCAGCCAAGAGACAAGGAGTGCCGCCATAGCGATACCCAGTGTTTTTGCAGCTTTTCTCGCTCTCTTTGCTACGCGTTCCCGGTAACTCTCTGAAGAGGACTGAGCTTGGCTGGCTGAACTTTCTATCTCCCTAGCCTGATGTCTGGCTACCAAAAAGATCTTACCGTGTATAAACGCCATGGCGACAGTGGGTATAAAGAATAGAAGGAAACAAAGTAGAACCCAATTTTGATTCAGTGGCGCCTGACAGCCTCCTACACAGGTGAGAGCAACTACTAGTCCTCGATTCCTTCCTCATTGGCCCCAGTGTAAAAGATGGAAAAACTATACGTGACAGAAAAGAACCAAGAGAGAATAATGCAGATGCCTGACACCGAGACAGTAAACTTGGTGGGATAGGTCAGAGGATCAGTAAGAGCAATGTATCTATCAATAGAGATACAGCACAGATGAAATAAAGAAGCAAAACGGAAGGAAGTATCGAAACATGTATGAAATTCACAGTAACTCTGCCCGAAGTACCAGCAGCTCTCCACAGACCTCACTGTGCTGAAGGGCATGACGGCAAGATTTCATTTTTGTGATGGCTGAGTAGTATTCCATTGTAGATATTACAGATATATAGATATATATAGATATATACCTCATCTTCTTTATCCATTCATCTGTCAATGGACATCCAGGCTCTTTCCATAGTTAGGCTATTGTGGACATTGCTGTTATAAACATTGGAGTGCAGGTGCTGAGATGCACAATCTTAAAACAGTTTACAGATCTCACCAAACAATAGTTGAATAATTAATGTTTACTTTATTTAACCATGAAAAAGTGTAATCCTACATCTAATCTTAATCTCAATCTTTGAACTAGAGACTGGAGTACTTAGATTGTCATTTATCCCATACCATAGGTCTGACCTTTGTTGAAAATGCAGAATCCTAGAAAAGCTATACGCATACACCTAGGTGTAGATACTCCCTAGGTAGTAGATTTCACCAGTCTGTACATTTTAAATGTTTGTGTGGGGGTCAGCGTGTGTGTGTGGTGAATGTGTATATACACCCATGGTATTTTCAGGATTTGCTATTCCGTGAATTTTAAATCAAATCATTTTTACTCTTATTTCCCAGTTTCATGTTTTACTTAGGCCCTCACTGGTTTGATGGCATAAATCTATGTCTCATGTTTACTCTTGGGATCCCCCACATGGGTGCATCCATGTGCTCACAGGTCAGTCTACCCAATAAAATCACCATTTAATAAACCCTGTATTTTCTTCTTCTGCCTCAGCTCTCCTGATAAAGTCTACCACATCTCCTATTTTATTCCCAGTCTGGCTTAAAGAATTTCACCACTGCCACCATAGATGGTGCCTGCCTGGAAGTCTCAGTGCCTATGTAAAGGATACTCTCTCCCCAACCTGTCGAACTCCTCACTTCATTGGTGCCCAAGTAATGCTGCTATTGCACAAAAAAACCTGAGCCCTTCCTCTGATCTTCATACTTGGGCTCCAGAATAGCAGACTTCAGTCTTACAGAAGGTCTTAAAACGTGTCCTTCCCTAGAAGCAAAGACACTTGAGAAGTAATGAGCACTCCTAAGACCCACATCTTGGTGTTTAATACTTTTCACCAGTAAAATGAACTAGAGCTTCTCTAAGAAATGTTTCATCCAAGCAATGGAACAAGAAAAGCACAGCAAGAAACTGGAATATATTTTTATATCAGAAACTAAGAGACTTTTTTTTTAAATGTTGACATTTAACAAGGACACTGTTGCTAACTTGAACAGATTCCCACTAGCCAAAAACTGGGATAATTTGAGTGCCAAAAATAATGAGAGAGATTAAAAGGTTATATGGTGGGGGGGATCCATGAGGCCATACTAATGATAGAAGATAGATAGATGATAGATAGATGATAGATAGATAGATAGATAGATAGACAGATAGATAGATAGATAGATAAATAGACGATAGATAGATGATGGATAGATAGATGATAGATGATAGATAGATAATAGATAGATAGATAAATAGATGATAGATGATAGATAGATAATAGATAGATAGATGGATAAATAGATAGATAGATAGATAGATAATAGATAGATAAATAGATGATAGATGATAGATAGATAATAGATAGATAGGTAGATAGATAATAGATAGATAGATAGATAGATAGATAGATAGATAGATAAATGATAGATGATAAATAGATGATAGATAGATGATAGATAGATGATAGATAGATGATAGATAGATAGATAGATAGATAGATGATAGATAGATGATAGATGATAAATAGATGATAGATAGATAGATAGATAGATGATAGATAGATGATAGATGATAGATAGATGATAGATGATAAATAGATGATAGATAGATAGATAGATAGATGATAGATAGATGATAGATGATAGATAGATGATAGATAGATGATAGATAGATGATAGACAGATGATAGATAGATAGATGATAGATGATAGATAGATAGATAGATGATAGATAGATGATAGATGATAGATAGATGGACAGATAAATAAAGGAGGGCTCTCCCTTACAGTAGAATACCAAGCACAAGTGATGTTATATATGGGGAAAGTGTTAGAGCTGGAACATCATAGTTTTGGAAGCATCACATTAGTATTGATTAAAGCAAGAATTATCAGTTGATGCTAAATCTTACAACAGGAGAGGGGAATTTTGATGAGAGTCAGGTATTTATATGGCATAAAATGCCATCTCCTAGAGATTGCTTATTAGCTGCAAAAGAAAAATATAGTAGCTATCCAGTGGAGAAATCAAGCCTTGACTGTGTATCAAATTAACATCATCTGTGGGTATCAAATTAACATCAATTAACATGGCTACATATGCTTCTGGAGGGATGCCCTGAGTAGCACACAATAAAATGTGTATGGTATTCCAGCCCAGAATGCATAACCAGAATCTAATGAAGAAATTTCAGACAAACCCAAGCTGAGAAACATTCTATTTTTAAAGGGTGGAAAGGGGGAAGGTTATAGTCTTCAAAAATATTTATGTAATAGAAGATTGAAGAACCTTTCCAGAATAAAGGAGACAGAAGAGCAAGACAATAAAAAGAAATATGCGATCTTTGAATGGAATGTATTACTGGGCCAGTTGACAAAATTGGAATATGAATGGTAGATGGTAAAAGTATTGCATCAGTATTAAATTACTGAAATATTAGGGCTAAAGGGCCGTGATGTATACAACTTACTCTCAGATGGTTCAGAAAAAAAAAATTACATGCACGCATTGATAAAGTTGGGGAAAGAGAACAAACATCAAAGCAAATAGAGCAAAAGTTTAATAGGTGAACCCAGGTAAAGAGGACCTAAGTGTGGGTTGTACAACTTTGCACAGCTTTTCTGTGAGTTTAAAATGATTTCCAAATAAAAACTTCCTTTTGCAAAAAGCAATTTTGAAAATTTGGACCTTTGGTATCTTCATTTTTATTTTATTTATTTTTTCTTTTTTAAAGATTTTATTTATTTGAGAGAGAGAGAGAATGAGCACAGGAGGAGGGGAGAAGGAGAGGGAGAAGCAGACTCCCCGCTGGCAGGGAGCCCCACTGGGGGCTTGATACCATGGCCCTGGGATCATGACCTGAGCTGAAGGCAGACACTTAACCAACTGAGCCACCCAGGCATGCTTCGTACTGGGCTCCTAATGCAACCAGGCATAAAAGGAGGGTAGGATATTTGCTGCTGCAGCAATCAGCCTTGGCTATGCTGGGCAGTGAGCACAGTAGAGGATATGACTGGAACACTTGAACCAGTGGCAAATGTTAAAGGAATAACTTAGTCCAATAAAGATAGGATTTCTAAAGGCTCCATTTTCTCAGAAATGAAGCGCCACCACTGAGTAGAGAAACCTAACAAGCTAAGATCCTGGCTGAAGGCAAAGGAAGATGGAATCGGTGATGGGAAAGAAAGAAAAAACAAATGTCCACCACATCCCCGTGACCAATTGTAGAAGAAGGGACTGTTTCACTTAACCTAATTTACCCAGCTTCTCAGTTTTAAAATGTGTATTGTGTAATTACTTTTTTCATTTCTTTTATCTCCCTCTATTTCACTACTTTATATAAGGTGCATTAGTGGTGTTTAACTTTATCATTCAGTCTGCATGTTACTGACTATTGAGAGAAGATTGTATGTCATACAGAAATCGTGAACTTGGAGTTCGGAGCAATAATTGGGAGGACTGAGTTGCCACTTGGGGAAGAGGTGAATTCGTGTCGGGTTGTATAAGGAATATTACAGGAAGAGAAAAAGAAGCACTTTGAATTTTAAGTATGAGGGAAAGAGACTGTTGATTGTAGAGGTCATGTATTCATCTGAATGCTCGGTATTCAAATACTCTTCCTATTGTGAAGATACCAAGCAAGGGAAATCAAGACCCGTGTCAAAACCCTCTCCCTACACCACCAGCTGAAGTGTGAACGCACGTATCCACTCAGAACTCGGGTGGCCAGAGTCTTCACAGCAGCTGCGGTGGAGTCCGAAGAGTGGTGGTACTGTTGTCCTGGGTTCAATGTGGCAGAGGTCAGCTGAGAATGAAAGTTCCTGTGGTGGAATCTTCCTTTGCTTCCTCTCTGAACCTGGTTCTCCTGCCTTCCTGGAGATGTGGGCATCTACCCTAAACCTTTCTAATGAGCCAAATTTCTGCATGAAACCATTTAGAAATGGATTCAATGTTATGAGTGAAAAAGAATGAGAATTCCTTGCTTGGGGGCCTACATAACCCAGCGGAGGACACAGTTTGGGTAGGGGGTGGGGCAGGGAGAGGATTTTCAGGTGGGACTTGTTGAAGCTGAGATGCCGATGGACAGTCAAACTGGGAACTGTTCAGCGGACAAATGGATAGATCCATGTAGAAGCAAAGAATAGAAAGTGTTTTGGAGGATGGTCATACTATTCAATCACTGAGAGAATTGACAGTGCTAAGGGAATGATTATTTATTACAAATCGACTATGTATCAAGCATCTACTAAGTGTCACTATAACACAATAAAATTCCAAGTCCGTGAATCACTTTACTATTCCATGTTATGGCCTGAATAAAATTTTCCAAGATGCTGGATTTATTTTATGGAGCAGCGAACAAATTAGGTATAATAACGGTTCCAAAATTTCCGTTATTAGACTCTTTCTTGTCCAAAATCTTACTGATACAATATTTCCCATTGCATAGTTCAAATAATATAGGGTTTTTTTCCCAACAATTTAATTTAATTTCCCTTTCTTGACTTATCAGTGTCGAACATATCTTCAGTTGGGATAGTTTCTTTGATTTTAAGAAATCACTTAAATTTTGTTTAAGTGTTTTCTAAACACTATTTTCTTGGTTTTGAGAGAACTTTACTTATGATGTTTTCTAAACACTATTTTCTTGGTTTTGAGAGAACTTTATTTATGATCTAGAAATCATATACTTAATAATATCATATCATATCATATCATATCATATCATATCATATATAATATATTATGCTTGAAAATAAGATCCCCAAAATAATAAGTA